ACCCCCCCCCTCCCCCCGACCTGTCACAGCCCCCTGCCGGAGTACCTCCTGATGCTCCGGCATATCCAATAATCCAGTACCCCCTGGGTCCCAAAGGTGCAGTGTTATCGGAAGTCTACTGTACTTAGCCAGTCGATCCCCAGCCTGTACCAATGCTTGGGATTCTTCCGTCCCAAGGGCAGGACTCTACACTTGTCCTTGTTGAACCTCATCAGATTTCTTGTGGCCCAATCCTCTAATCTGTCCAGGTCACTCTGGACCCTATCTCTGCCCTCAAGTGTATCTACTGCTCCCCCTAGCTTAGTGTCATCTGCAAACTTGCTAAGGGTGCAATCCATCCCCTCATTCAGGTCACTAATAAAGATATTGAACAAAACCAGTCCTAGAACAGATCCTTAGGGCACTCTGCTAGAAACGGACCGCCATCCTGACATAGAGCCATTGATCACTACCCGTTGGGCCTGACAGCCTAGCCAGCTTTCTATCCATCTTACAGTACATTTATCCAATCCATATTCTCTTAACTTGCTGGCAAGAATATTGTGGGAGTCGAATCAAAAGCTTTGTTAAAGTCAAGTTTTATCACATGCACTGACTTTCACGTATCCACAGAGCCAGTTTCCTCATCATAGAAGTTAACCAGATTGGTCAGGCACAACTTGCCCTTCGTTAATCCATGTTGACTATTTCTGATCACTTTCCCCTCTTCCAAGTGCTTAAAAATAGATTCCTTCAGGATCCCCTCCATGATTTTTCTAGGACCTGAGGTGAGACTGACTAGTCTGTAATTTCCTGGATTGTCCTTCTTCCCTTTTTTGAAGATGGGCACTACATTTGAAGATGGGCACTACATTTGCCTTTTTCCATGCATCCGGGATCTCTCCTGATCTCCACGAGTTTTCAAAGATAATGGCCAAAGGCTCCTCAATGACATTTGCCAGCTCCCTCAGTACCCTCGGATGCATTAAATCTGGGCCCATGGATTTGTGTACATTTAGCTTTTCTAAATAGTTCCTAATTTGTTCTTTCCCCACCAAGGGCTTCCCATACTGTGTTGCCTGTGTACTTTTCTGGGAGCTGACCTTGTCCGTGAAGACAGAGGCAAAGGAAGCATTGAGTACTTCAGCTTTCCCCACATCATCTGTCACTGGGTTAGCTCCTTCATCCAGTAGGGCCCCACACCCTCTCTGATCACCCTCTTATTGCTAACATGCCTGTAGAAACCTTTCTTGTTCCCCTTCACATCCCTTGCTAGCTGCAATTCCAATTGTACTTTCGCCTTCCCGATAACTCCCCTGCATTCTTGAGCAATATATTTATACTCCTCCCTAGTCATCTGACCAAGTTTCCATTTCTTGTAAGCTTCCTTTTTGTGTTTAAGCTCACCAAGCGTTTCCCCAGTAAGCCAATCTGGTCACCTACCGTATTTGCTTTTCTTTCTGCGTATCGGGATGGTTTCTTCCTGTACCTTTAATAAGGCTTCTTTAAAATACTGCCAGCTGTCCTGGACTCCTTTCCCCTTTATGTAAGCATCCCAGGGAATCCTGCCCATCAGATCTCTGAGGGAGTCAAAGTCTGCTCTTCTGAAGTCCAGGGTGTGGATTTTACTACTCTCCTTTCTTCCTTTGGTCAGGATCCTGAAATCTACCATCTCATGATCACTGCTTCCCAGGTTGTCACCCACCTCTACTTCCCCTATTAGTTCCTCCCTGTTTATGAGCAGCAGGTCAAGCTGCGCATGGCCCCTGGTCGGATCCTTCAGAACTTGTACCAAGAAGTTATCCCCAACGTTCTCCAAAAACTTCCTGGATTGTCTGTGTACCGCTGTATTGGTCTCCCAGCAGATGTCAGGTGATTAAAGTCACCCATAAGAACCAGGCCCTGCAATCTGGAAGCTTCTCTCAGTTGTCCAAAGAAAGCTTCATCTACCTCATCCACCTGATCCGGTGGTCTATAGCAGACACCAACCACAACGTCATCCCTGTTGCTTCCACCTCTAAATTTAACCCATAGACATGTCATTAGAATCAGCCCCAGGACAGTGCATCAGAGGAACCGGGTGTGTCCTTGGTGCAGTTCGTAGGTGGCTGGAGGAACTCTGCCACGGACCTTGTACCTTACCCAGTCTGCAGCAACCTTTCTGGGCGTGGCTGCAGCACGATAAAAAGATCTGTGGCACCAAGTCTCAGAGACCAGGGCAGTTGGCTTGGGCTTGCAAGGGTCGGGTTGTGAGGGGAAGGGCTGTGCTGGAGCTCAGGCTCTCCCCTTGTGTGGTCCGGGAGCCTTGGTTCCGGCCCATGCGTCATCTGGCCAGGGCCAGCAGTGTAGACGTGGCCTCTGCCTCTGTTGGGGTTTGGGGAGCCGGGTGAGAAACGTTGCATTTGTTCTGTATAGCGTTCAACTGCTGGGGCCTCATTAAGGTCAGCAAGATCCATGTTACCTGGCTCTGGTGTATGGGCAGGAGCTGTCAGGAGGAGAGGTGTGTTGGGACAGGGGGCTCGTGTGTGGCCATGGGATGGACAGTGTTGTGTGTGTTTCTTCCAGGAGATCCATCCACAAGTCCGTCTTTGCCAAGAGCAACAGCAAGTAAAGAGCTAGATGAGCACACTAGGAAAAACATGGCTGGGAAAAACAGGGGCAAGAGGAAAGCAGATGCCTCCTCCCCCCAGGACAGTGAACTGGAAGTAAGTGAACAGTCGTTCTGGAAGAGTTCCCTGGCCCGTGTGCCTCCCTTTCCCTTTCTGGCGGGGGAAGATGTTGGAATAGTTGACTAAAAAATTGTAGAGCCTACAAGACTACCGTGTACTATTTCTTGGTCATCTGGTTGTTCAGACAGTCATGTTCGTTTGCATTTCTGGAAGACTAGATGATTTACCTGGTATTGCTCAGGTCCTTGACTCAAATAATTTAAAAGGGATGGGGCTTGGGATGAAGGGTTCCGTGTGCAGCCCCCTCTCACCGTAGCTGTCTCTCCGTGGCTGCTGCTGCAGCGCCAGTGGGCAGAGTCAGGTGAGGGGTACATGTCCCCTGACTGGGACGCACGCACGCGCAACCAGACCAACTCTCTGAACTATACAGTAGAGAGAGCTGTCTCTTTCTCCACCTCTGCCTGCTGCTGGCTCAGTGGGGTTATAGCTGTCCTGGTCCCCATCTCCAGTCCCTTGCTGCCCCCCTGTGGTCACTCTGCAACATAACTCCTTCTTGCTGGCACCTCCCTTTCTATTTAATGAGAAACAATTGAATTCCAGGCGCACCCCACTGGCCTGGCATAACCAAACCCTGACCTTGCTTTGAGGTATGCTAAGAGGAAGCCACTTACTGCATTTGATCATCCTAGCTTTTACCATTTAGAACTGTGGTGTCCAACCCGTTCTAAAGCAGTAGCCACTATATATAATGGCTACTGCTATAGCAAATTAGCCACACTCAACTGGTCAAATAGCCACATGTGGCAAGTGGTTAGCATGTTGGACACCATGGTTTAGGAGGCGTCTTTGAACAAATGGACTCACAGACGGATAGACAGACAGGCAGATGCACATTTCTCAAATATATAGTATATAGCCCACTTCTTATTTACAGTGTCACCTGACAGTGAGAACAGATGTTCGCATGGCACTTTGGCATTACACGCTATTTCCATGCCAGAGATGCCAAACATTCGTATTCCCCTTCCTGCTTCAACTACCATTCCAGAGGATGTGATTCCATGCTGATGACAGGTTCCATGCTGAGGACGGTCCAGAGCAGTACGGACCAATGCATGTTCATTTTCAGCATCACTTTGCATTCTGTGTTGAAGTCGATATATTTGAAAATGTAGAAACATATGCAAAAATATTTAAGACATTTGTATTCATATTCAATTTTTAACAGTGTGATTAAAACTGGGAGTAATGGTGATCGATTGCATTAGTTAACAATGATGACTCGCTAGCCCTAATAAGAAATCAGAGGGAGGGAGCAGGGAGACTTCGGTTGAATAGTAGGAAAGCTTTTAAACTCTCAGGGCAGTTAACTCTGGAGGAGGCTTCCAAGGGAGGTTGTAGAATCCTTGTCCCTGGAGGTTTGTAAGAGCAGGTTGGACAAGCCCCTGTCTGGGCTGGTCTAGGGTTACTGGTTCCTGCTTCAGTGCAGGGGCTGGTCTCAATGACTTCTCCAGGTCCCATCCAGCCTGATGTTTCAGTAATGTTGTTCTTTCCTGCAGCATGGCAGTTGGAATACCCCAAGATTAACCACCTACTTGTCTTTCCTTCCCCAGCGAGTGTTTCTCTGGGACTTGGATGAGACTATCATCATCTTCCATTCTCTTCTCACAGGGTCCTATGCCCAGAAATACGGAAAGGTAATCTTGTCTCACCTCTCTCAGATGTAGACTAGGAATGTTATCAGTAAGTAGACACTAATGGGAGGTGAAAGAAGTAGAAAATAATACTCCTTGTTCAAGTGATGGTCCTGTTGCATTCTAGCCTATGTCTACACTGGGTAAGTCACCGGAAGTGAAAACTGGTTTTTCTGCTTCCCATTGTTGACATTTCATGGCCACATGGCTAGCTCCCTGTGGATGGATTGAGCAAAGCATTGTGGGTAAGCATCCCACAGTGTAGTGTGGTATGAAGACAGAGCTGATCCCTGCACTTCTTGGGATTCCCTTATAGCTCTGTGAGCTCTCCATGCTGAGGGATGTTAAAGGAGCACAGCAATCTCTCCAGCCCAGCCCCTGCAGCAGCAGTCTATGGGCTGCTCGGTTCTTAGCAGAGCAGAAGCATTTCCCCCAAACAGAGAAGCTCACTCAGCTGTCAGATACTTCCTGGAGCTCTGAAAGTAGAGGGGCACATGCCTGCAGGGCAGCAGCGTTCACAAAACACTGAGCACAGCCATCAGGGCAGGCATTGTGGGATACTGGCGGAAGTCCGTTCTCTCAACAAAACAAACAGCAGAGTCCACACTGGCTCTTTGTTGATGATAAAGGAAAAGGAGAAGACAAAAGTCTCTCTCAGAGCTGGAAGTTTTTTGTCACTAAAACTGGGTGTTTTTCCTAACAAAACTCAGTGTAAACGCTCCCCCTATTTTGTCACCAAAAGGCCC